GGAGAGCACCTATAAGCATCACTTTACAAGGCTATCAGATGGTTACAAATTATGGGCTGTGCGTAACGCATCGATGAAATGCTTCAAATGACTATGGTATAAAATATGAGTTCCCAAGCGAATTATAAACATCAAGAACGGTATAGTACACAATAATTATTTGTCGGAGTAAAACGAAAAGCTTAGGAACATAAAAGTTGTGGATAAAACGAAGAATATTCTATTCAGTAGTTTCTCATCAGGTTCTTCAATTATATACCGATGTAATTGGACAATGTTGGAGCGAAGTGCATCACGTAAACTTATAACATGTGAATCAAGGATTGCTTGTCACATAAAATCAAGCCAAATAGTTAATGTTGAGGTGACAAATATGAAGTGTTAACATGAGTAAATTTATATGTTAAATGAAATTGTAATAGATACGGCAATGAGTAATCAAACAAAGTTATTGGTAAGTAAACATAGTGTACGTGCAAGTAAAAAGTCGTCGGAAAATAAACAAAAATGAACTCACATTACTCTGGTGCTAACAGTATTTTGTGCTATCCTAACCGGCTCATGAGAACAAGCCCCATGGATGCAAGGCCACCGGAAGTAGGCAGGAGAGCATGATGTTGTCTAGGCGATTCTTTAGGACAGTAGCGAGCGTCCTTTTAGACTGAATATACTTGTTCAGTATTGGTGGGTCCGGTGAGATATCTATCTACTGCAAGTCAAAGTTAAGAAGGGACATATGCTTACTATCTAAACACATGAACATTGGTACCGAACGATACCAAATATATATACGTCACACTTCGTCATTCGGTTTGTTTATCTAATACAACTGAGAAGAAGAGTGAGGGGAACTAGACTTAGAGTTTGATATTGTTAAGACATGTGGATGGCCTATGATGTCTGAGTTGAGCGAGATGTGTTCGCGCGTGCTAGATCAGTGCAAGCGAAAGCTTCATTAAAAATTCTTGCAAACGTTTGGAATCCATCTGTCATGCGTATTGCAGAAGGAAGACTACCACACAATAATACATACTTAGTGGGGAAGAAGTTTTTCCGAGTTTGTGGTTTGCATTTTTCAACTTTGACTGTGGATACTTTATCTCGAAGGTCGTGTATGTTAGCCTGGAAGAAGGGATATATAACAAGTGGATCAAGTAAGATTTTTGAGGGGCTTGAAGTAGAGAATCAAATTGGACTTGATCCTTCTTTCAAGACAGGTTCTTGTCCTAGGGTGTGGCATGGGGAACGATAGTGGATGAGTGAATCAATTTTAGGCACTTTGTGAGTGAGCCCCACTGTATTCCTTCTACCTTCAGTATCTCGGACAGACATGAAATTGAAAATGAGAACGAACAATATTCAACGATATACCTGACGCACATCTTGTAGAGAATCATTCTATATTCATTTCGAAGGAAGTTGAGAAGAATGAAGCCCATTTATTTCGTTATTTTAGATGCTTTATCGTTAAACAACTCTCCTGAAATTTGTTTCAGGTTAGTTTTGGCAAGCTCTTTAATTAACTTATTTAGCATACTGTGGTATTGGAACAGTAAAAGTTCGTCTATTTCTTCGTATTATTTTGATTACTACCGTGACTGTATAAACGAGTATGCTTGATCACATGTGACAGCCCACATACATATCTCACTCAGCTTAAATATTGATCGCTTAAATATCTATTGATGAATCAGTCCCTTTCCCATAAATATATATGCTTGAATCTTGTTATTTGCTTTGCCCTGCTTCGCTTCTACTCGATTTGACTCTGAATCAACCTCTATATTCGCTTGCTGGCACGCATTAACCATTTAGCTTAAATTCGCTCGGTGTGCTTGTAACTTTGTTATCTGTTCTATTCAATAATGATCTGTGGTCGCCTCTGGTATTGCCTTCTGAATTCATACACCGTTATGATTTATTTAATAACAGTTGTCAGGGTATTTGATAGACGAAGCCTAAGGGATTATCTTGAAGCTAAAACACTACAATTGTAGATGTGTTCAGAGAAAACTGCGTGAGTAATGTACGTCCAGGTTAGTTACTAACGTGAGTTTAGGCAGTAAGTTCTTGTCAAGTGTTAGTTTTGTTTAAAAAGACGTGTCTCCTATACACAGCTAGCCACATTTTGCTGTTTTGAGCTCAAACTTCTAGTGCATACAACAGTTGTCTACCTTGTGGTATACTACGTACATCACAAATGTCAGCTATCTAGATGACTTAAGTCATCAACGTAAAGGCAGGTCTTACCTGTGTTTAAGCACCCGCACATATTGTAGATTGTGAAAAGCAATGGACGCAAGACACTACCCTGAACAACGCCACCGGTCATTGTTCGAGATGCAGATGTTATGAAGTTAATTTTAGTTATTTGGCATCCGTTCGTGTGAAAAAACTTAATAATAGGGGGTAAGTAATTTTAACTGAGTGAAGTCTGGTAACAAGAAATTACAAAGTACCTTATCAAAAGTTATATTGATACCGAATTATAGAATAACCACTCGTTTTTTGGTCACGCATTCGAGTAACCTCGTTAGAGAAATCTATAGGGCTTGTAATTCAGGACCTTGTGCTAATGAAGCCATGCTGCGACGGCTGAATTAGACCTTTTTAAAGCAAGTGATCAAACCATTAATCTTGTGTTATTTTTCATTACGCATAATTGGTCTGTAGCTTTGGATCAGGTTTTTCAGTTCTGATTTGTGTTTTGGTAAAACATATTTTGTCCGGTCTTGACATTTTGTGAAGAATCGATGTAATGTCACCTGGACCAGAACTCGGATTCGGCCTAGGTGTTTTGATGACAACAACGAACAGACCCAAAGTTTACAAATTTGCGTACCAGATCACGTTGGTCTCACTACTAAATATGCCGCAGTTATTCGGATATCGACACGTAACACCTATATAATCAAAGAATGCCAACCTAGTCAGATCAGAAGTCAAAAGACAAAGAGGTTCAAAAACATATTTGACAGGTTACCGACATATCAGGAAGTGTTTGATCTAAACTGGCTAACGGTTGTTAGAGAGGCGTGTCGCGATATATCCAGTATTTATCTAGTGTGGATGCATGACCAAGCACCTTCACGTAGATGTGTCAATTATAAATGAAGAGGTCAGTGTCAAACGTCAAAGACAAGAAAGACTACTTATCTTAAACATTTATTTACCAACACAAAATCACTTAAACCTTTAGCGCCAAGAACCAAACGTACGGTACTCATTTATTATTTGTTGAGGTTGTGCTTGATATTAGGCATTAGGTTTGCTTAGGGGAAAATTCGGACGAGTGCTTTTCAAAAGACCACCAGCTGACTGTGGTGGACAGATGGACAACCATCCTTGATCGCAAGGGGAAGGTTGACGTCATTTACCTTGAATTCTCAAAAGCTTTTGATGGGGCCAGTCATATATGTCTTATCAATAAGCTAAAACGATTAGTTATCAAGTCACCTTCAATTTATCGGCTGACTTCATGTCTAAAAAATCGACATTTTAAGGTCAGGGTCAACTTAAGTTGAGAGGAGTGAATTCGCTTCTCTCAGGCTATGGGATGCCCTAGTGGGGTTCCTCAGGGTTCAGTACTAGGACCTCTTCTTTTCTCGATCAACATAAACGATCTTCTAGAGTAAGTATTGTCGGATTTATTGCTTTTCGTTGATGATGTGGAACTGGAGAGAAGTTCGTAACCAAGAGGACCCAAGCAACACAAAAAGGGGAAATAAAGGCGAACACAGGGGAAATAAAGCGGACGAAAGCGTAAATAAAGGAGGAATGTCGCTTATTCGCCTTTACGTCGGTTATTTAGTGGGAATGTCGCTTTTTCCCCCTTACGTCGTGTATTTAGGGGAAATTTGTCGACAATTATGCGTAACGTACAGTGTTTGAATGAACCGCATACAGAACTTAAGTTTTCATAAACTTCGACAAATTAAGGCACCGCTTAATAAAAAACAAAAGCATTTTCATAAAAACAAGGTGCAAAATACGGAACCAGGCATTCGGTTGATGCGCGTATAAACTGACTTCGTTCGTTGTTTAGCTAAAGTGTTTCGACATGCTTACGTGATGCAGGTGAGTAACGTGCTCTCAGTTTTTCATCTTCATTGTAACTGATTACCTTGTAAGGCCAATACTCTGAGTTCTATTGAAGTCAGTGAAAATGTTCATAGACGTAGGGCTACTGTGAACTTGTCACGTTTCCTTGGCTGTCATAGATCCATTTATAACAGAAGGTGGAATAAAATGAGAGCTGCTTTCATGAAAAAAACATGACTTTCTTTCGTTCAGTGAGTTTGCTAATGAAAGCACCCTAAAAGGTAACTGAGTTCAACAATTGATAGAAGTAAATAGAGAAATCAATCGTAATAAAAGTACTTCAATTATTATACCGTCCACTACCCAGACAACCCAAAAAGGGGAAATGAACGGGTAAATGCTTTGATGGCGAAACGGGAAATAAAGGGAAAACGCGCCAGAATATCGCCTTTTTCGCCTGTCCAGGGGAAATAATGCGGATTTCCCCCTTTTTCGCCGTTTTGTCGACAAATTACCGACTTATCGCCTAAATATCCGCCGGATTGCCTACTTTTCGCCTAAATACACACATAACCCCCTATTTTCCAGCCATTGACAGAACCCCAAAGGTCTCCTATGTTCGCCAAAATATATCTGCAATGCAGTGGAAAAGCGGTACATTTTTGAAAAATTTTATTTAAAAGGAAAAGCGTATTATTGTACAACACTAGAGCCGAAGCTTAAGCATTGATTGTTCTGCATATCCAATGCAATTGCTAATTCATTGTTATTTGAAATTATCTGAAAAAGAAGAAACAGGTGATGTTTTATTTATAAAAAATGTGTATTTAAACAAAAGTTAACTGACACTCAAACACACGTTCTCAACACTTCAACAGTTTCCCATATAAGTAAAACAGTAAGCTGAACTTACGGTTATGTTCGTTAATATTGTTGACTGTAACTATAGAGCCGTAGGGAGGTTATCACTTTAAATTAGTACATACCTGGTCTTGTTTTCTTCTATTACACTTTATCATCTTGTCTCGGATATCGTGAAAGTAACCTTGTGTCGCGATGTCATAGAGCTTACCAAGGTCTTTTTCGTTGACAGGATGACAAAAAGCGATGAGTTAAGACACCTGAAGTTTAAGTAATAGATATAGGTTACTTCGTATGCAGCCGTAAAACGTGCATTTCTGAAGTGCTCGTTTTGAAGAGGTGCCAAGTAACGTGAATTTACTGGCAACCTCAGGTGTCAACAGATGCGACAGAACAAACCGCATCGACGTTTTTGGATCGTCACTTGATAACCTAGTGACCATTGCCATCTGTAATAGTAACAAATTATTAAATTCATGTTAATGACTTACAAATCTGTCCCTGGTTTCTTTTTGCTACAAACCAGTATCCAGCATCTGTAGTTCCTCTTCAGATGACAAAGGGAAGTGCTGACTCGACAGTCCGCAATCGAATTGATGCGGTCTTTCGCGCTCATTAGACTTTGAAAGCAATTGCTTTACATTAATACTCAAATCCGAAATGGCTGTTGACATTTTCTGCAACGTTTGACTGAAGTCATTCATAGTTGACGAAATGTTTTGCACCATTGCATGCAACCTATCTAACCTGAAAAAGTCCACTCGATGATGCAGGTGACTTACTGGTCTGCTGAAGCACCATGGACACGCTTTGATGCCGATGTAGACGGGGATGTCTCTAATTGCGTCGAACTAATTTTTGAACATGTAAATAGTCATGAAACTTACTTAGCAATAGGCGAAACTAACTTGTCAAACAACCTGAATTTGGAATATTGAACATGACTATTGCCAGCCTGCATTTCAGCAACATCCATGTCTACTGAATTGTAAAGATATTCTTGTTTACGCTTCATGGCAGCTCTAGAAAATGTTAGTAACATTATTGTACATACCTCTTGTGCTTCTCAGTGTTATGTGGCAGTGTTTTCATCCGTTGAAGTGTTTTCCCGGTGAGATTGCAGTATTTGTATGGAAAGTAACAGATCTTTGGCAGACTGCAGAGAATCTATAGTGAATTATACTTTCTGTGTATGTAACTTACCTAATTCGTGAATAACTTTACATTTCATAAGTGACCAATTTTCATTCGGTTGGTCGCACTTCTAAAGGTGTATATCGACCAGCTCGTTCGGAAAAACGCAAAGTTCTTTGCCTACTATCCACTCCTTGGATGCTGTCATCAGTTGTTTTTTGCTGAGGACGTCAACAATGACGTACTTCTTGTTAGCGGGCTGAAAATAACATAAGACCTAATTAAATTATTTGTCGTCATTTATTAAACACTAGTGAAACAAAATGCATTTACAGCAAAGTATGCAGCAATGGGATTAGAACTAGATAATTCCTACAATTTATGGCCATACATTTACAATCTATGTCCTTAACCGAGATCCATATGTGTTCATGGCTAACTACGGAGCACATAAAGATTCCAATATCAGTAGATGGAAAGGATCTTCAAAGTAATTGCGTGGGTCAGTGAAAGTCCTAAATTTTAATAGTCCATCCTCCTTTATATCAGTGATGGTGAATAGATTGAGTCTGACGACGGAAGGTGTCGTCTGTTCTTAAAGTATATAACCCATTTGGAAAGGTCGTCTTACCATCCAGCCGTCTCCCAAGAACAGTACACCTATCGCAACCTACCTTACCGTTATGATTCACCGTGTACCTAACAGAAGAACGAGCAGGTGCGTCACATATAACAGCCGCCAACCGAATAGCTATGCACTTATTAAACTTGACACTGAAAAGACCCTCGTCAGTAATTTCTTTTATTTCAGAAGTTGTGTCCGCAGAAAATTCGTTGAATTCTGCGGCTTTACTATTCCCTCCGTAGATCTTTATCATGAACACGTCACTAAGCCTAAGGGCAATGATCCGTCCTAGTATAGGCCATAACTGTTGATTGGAGCTTCTAGACATAGAAAGTCCATCTATATTGACATACAAATTTAAAGAGTCAAAATCAATAGTACACAACCAAAGCTCAACGTATCTTAGCAGATTGGTTTTCAATCCTAGATGGTAGTAAGTCCCACAGCCGATGAACTTTGGTTGAACACTTGGACAAGTCTTCAGAACACCTCTGATGCTTTTCGGTATGTCCGGGATAAGAATTCGTAGACCATACAGAACCCGATCAGCATCTCTTATGCTCAGAGATTTATTTGACATTACATACATCATGAAGTCGTTCATCAGTTCTTTGCGATTCACAATCTTTTGAGAGCACAAGTTCACTTCATTACATCCTATAAGAACGAATTTTCTGCGGACACAACTTCTGAAATAAAAGAAATTACTGACGAGGGTCTTTTCAGTGTCAAGTTTAATAAGTGCATAGCTATTCGGTTGGCGGCTGTTATATGTGACGCACCTGCTCGTTCTTCTGTTAGGTACACGGTGAATCATAACGGTAAGGTAGGTTGCGATAGGTGTACTGTTCTTGGGAGACGGCTGGATGGTAAGACGACCTTTCCAAATGGGTTATATACTTTAAGAACAGACGACACCTTCCGTCGTCAGACTCAATCTATTCACCATCACTGATATAAAGGAGGATGGACTATTAAAATTTAGGACTTTCACTGACCCACGCAATTACTTTGAAGATCCTTTCCCATCTACTGATATTGGAATCTTTATGTGCTCCGTAGTTAGCCATGAACACATATGGATCTCGGTTAAGGACATAGATTGTAAATGTATGGCCATAAATTGTAGGAATTATCTAGTTCTAATCCCATTGCTGCATACTTTGCTGTAAATGCATTTTGTTTCACTAGTGTTTAATAAATGACGACAAATAATTTAATTAGGTCTTATGTTATTTTCAGCCCGCTAACAAGAAGTACGTCATTGTTGACGTCCTCAGCAAAAAACAACTGATGACAGCATCCAAGGAGTGGATAGTAGGCAAAGAACTTTGCGTTTTTCCGAACGAGCTGGTCGATATACACCTTTAGAAGTGCGACCAACCGAATGAAAATTGGTCACTTATGAAATGTAAAGTTATTCACGAATTAGGTAAGTTACATACACAGAAAGTATAATTCACTATAGATTCTCTGCAGTCTGCCAAAGATCTGTTACTTTCCATACAAATACTGCAATCTCACCGGGAAAACACTTCAACGGATGAAAACACTGCCACATAACACTGAGAAGCACAAGAGGTATGTACAATAATGTTACTAACATTTTCTAGAGCTGCCATGAAGCGTAAACAAGAATATCTTTACAATTCAGTAGACATGGATGTTGCTGAAATGCAGGCTGGCAATAGTCATGTTCAATATTCCAAATTCAGGTTGTTTGACAAGTTAGTTTCGCCTATTGCTAAGTAAGTTTCATGACTATTTACATGTTCAAAAATTAGTTCGACGCAATTAGAGACATCCCCGTCTACATCGGCATCAAAGCGTGTCCATGGTGCTTCAGCAGACCAGTAAGTCACCTGCATCATCGAGTGGACTTTTTCAGGTTAGATAGGTTGCATGCAATGGTGCAAAACATTTCGTCAACTATGAATGACTTCAGTCAAACGTTGCAGAAAATGTCAACAGCCATTTCGGATTTGAGTATTAATGTAAAGCAATTGCTTTCAAAGTCTAATGAGCGCGAAAGACCGCATCAATTCGATTGCGGACTGTCGAGTCAGCACTTCCCTTTGTCATCTGAAGAGGAACTACAGATGCTGGATACTGGTTTGTAGCAAAAAGAAACCAGGGACAGATTTGTAAGTCATTAACATGAATTTAATAATTTGTTACTATTACAGATGGCAATGGTCACTAGGTTATCAAGTGACGATCCAAAAACGTCGATGCGGTTTGTTCTGTCGCATCTGTTGACACCTGAGGTTGCCAGTAAATTCACGTTACTTGGCACCTCTTCAAAACGAGCACTTCAGAAATGCACGTTTTACGGCTGCATACGAAGTAACCTATATCTATTACTTAAACTTCAGGTGTCTTAACTCATCGCTTTTTGTCATCCTGTCAACGAAAAAGACCTTGGTAAGCTCTATGACATCGCGACACAAGGTTACTTTCACGATATCCGAGACAAGATGATAAAGTGTAATAGAAGAAAACAAGACCAGGTATGTACTAATTTAAAGTGATAACCTCCCTACGGCTCTATAGTTACAGTCAACAATATTAACGAACATAACCGTAAGTTCAGCTTACTGTTTTACTTATATGGGAAACTGTTGAAGTGTTGAGAACGTGTGTTTGAGTGTCAGTTAACTTTTGTTTAAATACACATTTTTTATAAATAAAACATCACCTGTTTCTTCTTTTTCAGATAATTTCAAATAACAATGAATTAGCAATTGCATTGGATATGCAGAACAATCAATGCTTAAGCTTCGGCTCTAGTGTTGTACAATAATACGCTTTTCCTTTTAAATAAAATTTTTCAAAAATGTACCGCTTTTCCACTGCATTGCAGATATATTTTGGCGAACATAGGAGACCTTTGGGGTTCTGTCAATGGCTGGAAAATAGGGGGTTATGTGTGTATTTAGGCGAAAAGTAGGCAATCCGGCGGATATTTAGGCGATAAGTCGGTAATTTGTCGACAAAACGGCGAAAAAGGGGGAAAATCCGCATTATTTCCCCTGGACAGGCGAAAAAGGCGATATTCTGGCGCGTTTTCCCTTTATTTCCCGTTTCGCCATCAAAGCATTTACCCGTTCATTTCCCCTTTTTGGGTTGTCTGGGTAGTGGACGGTATAATAATTGAAGTACTTTTATTACGATTGATTTCTCTATTTACTTCTATCAATTGTTGAACTCAGTTACCTTTTAGGGTGCTTTCATTAGCAAACTCACTGAACGAAAGAAAGTCATGTTTTTTCATGAAAGCAGCTCTCATTTTATTCCACCTTCTGTTATAAATGGATCTATGACAGCCAAGGAAACGTGACAAGTTCACAGTAGCCCTACGTCTATGAACATTTTCACTGACTTCAATAGAACTCAGAGTATTGGCCTTACAAGGTAATCAGTTACAATGAAGATGAAAAACTGAGAGCACGTTACTCACCTGCATCACGTAAGCATGTCGAAACACTTTAGCTAAACAACGAACGAAGTCAGTTTATACGCGCATCAACCGAATGCCTGGTTCCGTATTTTGCACCTTGTTTTTATGAAAATGCTTTTGTTTTTTATTAAGCGGTGCCTTAATTTGTCGAAGTTTATGAAAACTTAAGTTCTGTATGCGGTTCATTCAAACACTGTACGTTACGCATAATTGTCGACAAATTTCCCCTAAATACACGACGTAAGGGGGAAAAAGCGACATTCCCACTAAATAACCGACGTAAAGGCGAATAAGCGACATTCCTCCTTTATTTACGCTTTCGTCCGCTTTATTTCCCCTGTGTTCGCCTTTATTTCCCCTTTTTGTGTTGCTTGGGTCCTCTTGGTTACGAACTTCTCTCCAGTTCCACATCATCAACGAAAAGCAATAAATCCGACAATACTTACTCTAGAAGATCGTTTATGTTGATCGAGAAAAGAAGAGGTCCTAGTACTGAACCCTGAGGAACCCCACTAGGGCATCCCATAGCCTGAGAGAAGCGAATTCACTCCTCTCAACTTAAGTTGACCCTGACCTTAAAATGTCGATTTTTTAGACATGAAGTCAGCCGATAAATTGAAGGTGACTTGATAACTAATCGTTTTAGCTTATTGATAAGACATATATGACTGGCCCCATCAAAAGCTTTTGAGAATTCAAGGTAAATGACGTCAACCTTCCCCTTGCGATCAAGGATGGTTGTCCATCTGTCCACCACAGTCAGCTGGTGGTCTTTTGAAAAGCACTCGTCCGAATTTTCCCCTAAGCAAACCTAATGCCTAATATCAAGCACAACCTCAACAAATAATAAATGAGTACCGTACGTTTGGTTCTTGGCGCTAAAGGTTTAAGTGATTTTGTGTTGGTAAATAAATGTTTAAGATAAGTAGTCTTTCTTGTCTTTGACGTTTGACACTGACCTCTTCATTTATAATTGACACATCTACGTGAAGGTGCTTGGTCATGCATCCACACTA